ATTGCATGCTAATACATGATGGATATTATAATAGTTGGAGAAGTAGAATACACTTTTGAGTTATTGTTTTTTTTACAAGTTACCATGCAGTATGGGATAAATCCCATTCCATCTTCTCCATGTGCATAATACAAACATGCATTTAAAGAGTATTGAGTTTCATGAATGACTGGTTCAGTTCTGTATTTTCTTCATAGACGCGGGGTAACATTGGCAAAGTGGTATTGTGTGGAGGTTGGTTCCTAAATATTTTCTTCCCAAAGGGATTAGGCGATATAGATTATTGGTGTAACAGCTAAGAAACATTCAGACTGTTGGCTCATTGTGTGATCTCACTGATCTGCCGGTAATTGTTGTTCAGGAAGTTTTTCTACATTGCAATCTTAGTATTTGTATGAGTTGTTTTTCTTTACATAGACGTAACTTGATGTGTGCTTTTTTTGTAAGGTAAGTGTATCAGATATCTGAAGGAATATATAAAAAGAACAGCATAAATTATAACAGAAATTTGCAGAAATGAGAATAATGAGACAAAACTAAGAAAAATGGATAAAAAAAGAATAGAGACTAATGGTGTGATACAATATAAAGAACAGAGAATAGTGGTGTGCTATAATATGAAAAATAGAGAATAATGGTATTTTATAGTACGAAGATAAGAGAATAACCTGGTGTGCTATAATATAGGAATAGATTGATTGTGGGTTGATTGGTTATCGTCTTGTGGTAAATAGTGGTAATGTTCAGGACGAAAAGAAATTAACAATAAATATAAAAAGGAGGTCCTGAATTATTATATAGGCCGTTCGGGATACAGGTCGGAGAAATTATGACTCACTAGAAAGTTGGGGTTTTTTGTATTGGGGCACACATTTAGCTTTAAGTACAACTGTCCACCTACGGACCCCTCTCTTAGCGCGCAGAGAGCGTGGTATCCTCTATACACGATCAGTGGCGGATCCAGAACTTGTTATAAGGGGGAGGGGGCCGCTACAGTCATGCTTCAGTGATTCCCTATATTATCAACCAAATTTTTCCCACGAAAAGAGGGGGGGCTGGATCCACCTATGACGAGTGCTATAACATTTAGACAGGGTCGTAACTAGGCCTCAGAATCAGACGAGGCAGGTGTTTGGTGCCGCCGACTGAGGCACCCTGGTAAAGGGGATTAAGGGGGCACACCCCTACCTCCCGGCCGAAAATTGCAATATTAGGGGTCGAAATATACCTTGTTACATCCGTTTTTGTATCATATTTACCATTTTTGTTTCACATTTACCGTAACGAAGAACTGCATTAGGCTATCAGAGCAGATTGACACATACTTGCCTCGAATCTTGTTCCATCAAACATGTATCCATTTACAGAAGAGGTTCATGTTTGATAGTAGAAAAAGCGGGACAAGTGTGTGTTGTCAACGCTTCATTAAAATTAACACAAATTTTCAATAACACTTTATAAAGCCCAAAGAGTGGAACCTAGTCACTGTCTGTGAATGCTAGTTCGACCTTTCTTTACCAATTGATTTTTCTCTTTTAAAAAAAATGTACATGTACAAAATTCAGGTAAAAAAAGAACACCGTTAATTACAGTTTTTAATCGTTTTTTTTTAGAAATTTAAGCTAGAAAAGTAGTTTATGATAAAGTCTTAGATAAAAATCATGACAAAAAAACTTATAAGTACTTTTAATTAACGAAAAAAATGTCCGAAATCTGAATAAGTACGGCCAAAAGCTTTATTTTGACTATAGATCTTTATTACATGTTTATAAATCACAGAGACAAGAATACGTGTGAAATGGTATTTGAAGCCGTTTTATTTATTTGACATCACGTCTCTATTAAAATTGCCCATCATCAAGTTGGGCAACATAGGGTGAGCTACAAGAATGTCAGTTTTAATAATCACATATACTTTACATACATATACTACTGTTTTTTTAAATTATTTTGGGGATAACGGAAGTGCTATTTATAGATAAATTCTATATTTAATTATTTGTTACGCCCCCTATAAATATCTGACCAGTCCGGTTAATCACCCCAGACGCTATATTTATATATGCGTCTGGGTAATCGAGACTACCGTAGACTATATTTCTAACTAATAAATATGCGTGAACCCTCAGGGGACCCTCAGGGGTTCACGCAATAATTATAGAGTATATACATATGGAAATGCAACATTTCTACTTAAAATGTCAATATATCAACTAAATAAATTTCAAAAGATGTATAAAGTCCATGAAAAGAATGAAACATCGTCTATACGTCTAAGTCTATAACTGGAGGTGGTCTTTTGATTATAGACTGTTTCGCAGCTTCATTTAACTGATCCTCCACGGTCTATATCGCATTTTGTGCCGGTTCACCATTATATTGCACTTAATATTCATAACATTCGTTCCATTTACTTTGAGTCAAAATGCGTTTGATTTTGTAAAAAATGATCAAAAATATTCTCAGTCTGTTCAGATGATGAAATATCGGCTACTGTTGTTTCACTTATATTGCCTAGTTCTGATCGATACCGCATTGGCTTACGAATTTGTCTCACAGGTCTTGTTCGTGAATTATTGTTTACTGAGGGTTCACTGTTTGATTCGTCGGAGACGACAACATTACTAGTAGGTTCGGAATTAGTGATATCTCCATTTTGTATTTCATTCAAGTAGTGTTCATTTTTTCACTGATACTGGAATAAAATAATTAGCGGGATTCGGAGCGCGAACGAACGGTATTTGAAGACGGTCCAAATACACTGGATTCTTAGACCATTTATACCATGCACTGTCCTTTTTCTCGGAGTTTAACTGTGGCGATAAAATTTCATGGACAACATATGGTCCCGAGTACTTTGGTTGAAGCTTTTTTTCGGTCCAACTACTTCTTTCAACATATATACAAAATCTCCAACTATTTGCGTTCCTTCATAATTTCACGAATAAATAAAAAGAAAAGTCACGACAATATTCTGCTCAAATAATGAAAAAAAGACCCAGTCGCCTGTCGGAGTTATGATCAACATAAGAAGGAACTTGTAAATAACACTATTTTCCGATTCCATTGCACCGCAGAACTTACCTTTAAATGACTTTTTTTGGTGGCATTTTATAACTTCTCTTAGAATTGCCTATATTGATATTGATAAAAGTTATAGGACACTGAGGATAAATGATTGGAGGTTGGCATAGGGTAGTTTTCATTTCCATAATTTCATAGTTTAGCTGTTATTTTTGTATCCAAATTTGAATAATTTGTCTTTTTAGACCTAAGCAAATTATTGAAATGTTTCAACTTTAGAAGATGCATCGTTTTGACACCTCTCCCCCCTTTTAATGTAGTTAATGGAAGGAGGACGTTTCATAGGGTGGCGAAGTATATTTTCATTGAATTTCTATTTTATAGTTTTCCAGAAAAAAACATTGAAATTGTCTTTTTTATATATATACATAATAGACAATTTTATGTCTCTGGTTAAAGTTATGTACAGTGGTTATGTATTTCCGTATTTTATTACTGAAGTGCATCACTGATAATTATAACCCAGTTAGATCTATCAGCGACATATGATAAGTCAGTGGCGTAGCTAGGACAATATAATGATGTGTACTCAATGCCGGAGGAGGAAGTCAAACGGCAGGGGGTTTGGGGGCCGCTAAAGGTCCCCAGAAACTCTGGGATAAATGGTGTAAAATCCTGAATACTCGCAATTTCCTTGGACTTAAAATGACCTCACGGAAATCTTATTTTCATGAGTAACAAGTCAAATTTTGAAAAAAAAATTGAAAAAAAATATTAATTAGAGAAAAACAAACAAGTACTCTTGGCTTGGGAATTTGGATTTTCTAATGTGCAGTGGGTTGAGCTTCATTAAATTAAAAATAATATTCGTTGCTAGTTAGTTAAGATTAAAGGGGGTTGTAAAGGGTGGTACTTGCACGAAAAAAAAACGTTAAATTATACAAAGAAGGAATAACAATTTCACGGTGAACGTGAAATGATTTCGTCCATGAACATTGCATGATAAAAAAGTACTATAATAACGAACGCATATCACAGGTTGGAAACCTTTAACTGGCAAGTATATAATATATACGTTTGAAGTCCCGAAATCTATAAGGAAAATCATAAAATTATTTCTGATTTCTTTTTATTAACTTTCAAAACGACAGTTTTTTTTAATTTACCAAGCACGGAAAACAAGCACTTTTAATCCATGTCGAAGCACGTATAAATAAGTTAGGGGAACACTTTGAACGAAGAACCCGTCTTGCACAACCGAACGTAAAAATAAAAAAAAAGCAAAAACACATTGATCGTCAATTTAAAAAAAAAAAAAACCGGCAAACACGATGCACGAAAATGACCCTTTACCAACCCCGTTAAACTTAAGGATGTACTTAGGTAAAATTAAATAAATCAAGAATCGAAAATTGATAATATAAGCCGGTAGAGCATTGGTTAAGGATCAAAATAAGCTAAAAATATTGATAGGTCATCGAGCTCCTTTTCAAGATATTTGATATTTAAAATATGGCGGGAAAAGGCTGACTCGGACGTTTACCTTATATTTGCATTGGTATTATGTGTGTCTCAAATCAAAAGAAAGAAAATCAAGAACCTTCTAAAATTTTGGTAAATGACCTTTTATGAGCTATTAAGTCTTACATGAAAAAATAAATGGGTGTTATGGGGCAAAATATTTTACCTTGTATTGTATGGAAAAACACCAAGGAGTCCGAACATTTGACACAAATTCCAAAACCTCACCTAAGTACATCCTTAAGTCTGACTGGACTGTTTAAAAAAATCTGTTATGACGACGTACGTTATTAAGATTGTCCATACCTCACAGGAAAAACATGAGAATGAATCGTTGTCCATGGTCTTTCGTCATTTATTTTGAATTTGCCGCTAGTAGAAACTTTTGCAAAGGTGAAAGGTCAATTATATCCAATGATAAAAATCGTACTATCATACTTAATGAACAACAAAAACAGATTTGTGGGCGAAGTCATCGGTCAACTTCCGGAATAAGAAGTACCTTCTTCCTGAAGAAAATTTCTGCAATGTTTTAATCCATACTTTGACACTTACAAATGTAATCTAGAAAACGACGTTAATTAATGGCTGACATAACAAAGTCATGTTACTAAATCTGATCAAAGTGAGAAACAGGTCTTAAATATCTTTCGTACTCACAATAAACCAACGCAAAGAACATTTTGTTAGAAAAGAAAATTTTAATACATTGTTATGCAACTGTCTCTGACCAACCGCTAAGTTTTTTTCTGTAGCATTTACTCCTGAAGACCAGTCACATTTGTAACAGGTTGCACACAATTTTGAAATAGAGCATTCTGTAAAGATACAAAAAAAAATTGCTACTGAGTACTGTTGAAGTAAATTTAAAAAACTGTTTGGCAGATTAGATAATTACAACATCATGTCTGACCAAGAATCTGACACTGATCTAGGCTTTCCAATTACAAGATTAAAGGCCTTATATGATTACTCCTATAAAGATGACGATGGTCACATGATCACAATGAAACGAGGGGATGAATATCATTTGATATCTAAAAGTGGTGATTGGTGGGAGGTTGTTCGAGATTCTGGGAATGCAAATGAGTTAACTTTTTATGTACCAGCTGCTTATGTTCAAGTTTTAGATGATGATTACACACATTCTCCTAGATCAAACAACTCTAATGAATCTTACACTGACAACAACAATGAGAAAACTGAGCAAATAAATATTATAAGTGTTACAGGAAGTAAGAATGTGAAAACAGATATGGCGTATACAGGGTCATCTGACTATATTAACTCAGGTGAAGTAGGAATAACTTTTGGAAAAGGCAAATCAAGTTTTAAGAAAATATCAGACTCAGGCATTCCATCTGCAACCATTCCAGCTGTTTCTTCAGTGGCGGTACCATTTAGGAGGAGTTTTTCAGATGAAGGCGATTATGTTAACTTAGATAATTATAGAACAGAAGCTGGCATACATGTTACTGAAAAAAATGATGGAGAGGCTACAGATAGTGTAAGTATTGCACATCACATACAACATGTAAAATTTGCAGTGTTTTAATAATGCTATCAGAAGTGCACTTTTATATATTTCATTGTGCTTTACAGCAAATTTTTTTTTATTTCTTTACCAGCAGATTGAGTTCTTCTATCTTGTTGTCAGTAATTTTGAGCAGTCATGGATACCATATTGTTTTATTGGTATCTAATGGTGCGACTTATTTTGAAAATTGAAATTTATATGAACTGATTTTTGTTGTGCATTTTTATCATAATTTTGCACATCTCTTTTATTGAGATATATGTAGAAATGGGGAATGATTTTTACTAAAAAAAACAGCAATTAATATAGGTTAGAAATTGATATATATAGCCCTTTGGTCATGTTGGTGTAAAAATGAATACTCATAACTTTGAGAAGCCAAAATTAAATTTTATTGCTCCTTGTCCATATTTGTTCAATTACTAGATGGGTTGATATCACATCAGAAAAAAGAAATTGTATTAGTTATTTTAAAATTAAAACTGATAACTTTTAGAGGCCAAAATTAACTACATGTATTATTACCCCTAATCAATTTTTTTTCAATTACCAGATGGGTTGATATCACATCAGAAAAAGAAATTGTATTAGTTTTTTCAGCTCTTTGTTAGTTTTGTGGATTTTATTTATATACACGTATATATCAAAACAAAGATTTTAACAATTGGTAGGGACTTACCAGGAGTGTAAAAAATAGTACACTGTACTTACACCTAATACACCAGTTGTATTGAAGTTGCCATGAAACATGTATACATCATACATACATGTAGCTTCTCGTGATCAAACCTTAGCCAAGTTACTATAATAGAAACCAATAAAAGTAATCCTATTGTCATGTATTGTTGAATGTGTAATTTTTGAAATGGTAGTTTTCAAATAACCACTTGAACTAATGATATTCTTTTTTTTCAGGATTATGCAAATTTTGCACCAATCCAATCGAAACACGAGCCACCATCACCAGACATTGAAAAATGTGATTACATTAAAACATTATTAGATGTATGGCAAATGTTTCATGACCCCCAAACAAATAGATTATTTTATATTAATAAAGAAACAGAGGAGAGAACATGGAAACCACCTAGACATCCAAACAAACATGAAAGAGCACAACAGGTAATGCTACATTGTTGTCAAGATTGAATCAAACAAAATAATGAAATGAAAAATAGTTACAATTTTATATTTTGTAATCTTTTCAATACAACATATCTATTCTGATATGAATGTACAGGATGAGAGTTTTTCAGCAACAACTTATTTTTTTGATACTGTTTGAAAGAAAATAAAATGCAAGAACCAATAGCAGTGAAATAAATACAAATGTTTACAAAGAATATTGGAAAGAGATTTTTGTCTCGCCTGCAACAAAAGTCCGGGAAGCGAGACATAGGTATTGCTTTTCTGGTGGCAGCAACAAAGGAGGAGCATGCGTCAACAGTTATTAAGTTTTCTGCTTGAGTCAGTTTGATAGAAACTAATTGTGATAGATCAATGATATTTTGTATAAAGTTGCATTGCTATCAGTAGATATCAGTTTGACTGCTATTTCTAGGTCCTGTCCCCTAGGTCAAGGTCCAGCAACTTTCAGTTAATAAGCAATTTTCAATGTTAAGTTTTCTGCTTAAGTTAGTTTGATAGGAACTACTTGTGATGGATCAATGATATTTTCTAAAAAGTTGCATTACTCTCAGGACATATCATTTTGACGACTATTTCCAGGCCTTGGATGTTACTTGCCCCCTAGGTCATGGTACAGTGACTTTGAATGAATAAGCAATTTTCAGTGTTGAGTATTCTGCTTAAGTCAGTTTGATATGAACTCCTTGTGGTAGATCAATAATATTTTCTATAAAGTTGCATTGCTATCAGTACAAATCAGTTTGATAATTATTTCCAAGCCCTGTCCCCTAGGTCATGGTCCAGTGCCTTTGAATTGTTGAAATGTTGCTGTCCGTCAGATTGTCTTTTTTCGAATTTTTTGCAGACAGGCGAGACATATTTCTGTATCAACAGTTTATTTTATCAATCTAGCTTTGCTTAAAAGAAACTGCATAGATCTGATCAGAAAATTTGGATATTTGACATTTGTTTTTATAGAATTATATTCATATCATAGAGTTTATTTTTCACATTTTCTGCTCATGACACAGCTGTTAAACAATATTCCAGTTATAATAATACATGTTATAAATATTTCTAGTTGTGAAGATAAGTTGATATTGTAATTTTTTTTAATTGTCTGATTATGTACTTGACTCATGCTAAAGCCTCTTGTTATTTGATACAGTACATGAACATTTGGCTCCTCTACACTTTATTTAATTTTTAGTGATATCCAAATATCATTTCAATACAGGAAATTAACTACAAATAAATCATTGTGTAAAGGTGTATATAATTTCCTCTTGTGAAAGGCATATTGATGCCTATATCATGCATATACATACATCATTTGTACATGTAGGTTATAATTAGAACGAACCATCCTGTATGGAATGACTTTTATCCAAAATGCTTCAAACAGTAACTGTGACTACATGTCTGAATTTATTTAACAAAAATCGAACAACAAATTTTAATTTTTACAATAGGATATCTTCTGTACATTTAAATAATTTTTTTTATACATAAGTTTTACACATGAAAGTAGAAATCTTTAAATACATGCTGAATGAGGGATATTGGTAACAGTGATATAGAGTATTTTAGACTCAGCCAATATCTTATACTGGCTAATGAAGTACTTGTTGTAAGTTCCATACATACTTAATATCATGATCTCTGACCATGTTTAGGAATTTATCATCCATTAACCAATATGTACAGTAATGCATAATTTATAATCACATTTTCATGCTTCTAAACACACAATAGTTTGAATGCTTGTATAACCTTAAATTATGTTTGAATTGAAGATCCTTACAAACGTTCATGGACCATTTACACCACGAGCTAGAGTGAGTAGTTACCATGGTAATGCATGCTTACCAGTATACCTACATGTAGCAAGCCTTTAACTGTGTCCCATCTGTTGGGTAGAAATTTTTGTTACATTGAATAATAACTGGTACAGGATTTATGTTGTTCCTATCAAAATATACCCTGAAAATATTTATGGAAGCATGTTAATATGTGTACCTTTTTTTTTTTTTTTTTTTTTATATTGGATGAATTAGATAAAGTTAAAAGGTGGAAATGATGAATTAATTTTTCCAAAATTTACAACCTCACCTTTATATGTTGGGTTTTACCTTGGATAATCAGAAATTATGTTAAATTAGCTTAATATATATGTTGTAGTAAAATGAGAATAGAAGATAACTAGATGAACATTTTATGAATTTACTTTCATACTACATAGATCATTGACAAATAAAACATACAGGTACTAATTTTTAAGCCCCAGCTTCAATAATAGAGGGGCATTATGTATAGGTTTGTCCATCAATCCATTACTCGGTCCATCCCCTATCATGTAAAAGTTTTGGGTTAGGGAGGTTTGTCCATTAATCCATTACTCGGTCCATCCCCTAACATGTTAAAGTTTTGGTTTAGGGAGGTTTGTCCATCAATCCATTACTCGGTCCATCCCCTAACATGTTAAAGTTTTGGTTTTGGGAGGTTTGTCCATCAATCCATTACTCGGTCCATCCCCTATCATGTTAAAGTTTTTGTTTAGGGAGGTTTGTCCATCAATCCATTACTCGGTCCATCCCCTATCATGTTAAAGTTTTGGTTTAGGGAGGTTTGTCCATCAATCCATTACTCAGTCCATCCCTTAACATGTTAAAGATTTGGTTAAGTGAGGTTTGTCCATCAATCCATTACTCGGTCCATCCCTTAACATGTTAAAGTTTTGGTTTAGGGAGGTTTGTCCATCAATCCATTACTCGGTCCATTACTCGGTCCATCCCCTATCATGTTAATGTTTTGGTTTAGGAAGGTTTGTCCATCAATCCATTACTCGGTCCATCCCATATCATGTTAAAGTTTTGGTTTAGGGAGGTTTGTCCATTAATCCATTACTCGGTCCATCCCCTAACATGTTAAAGTTTTGGTTTAGGGCGGTTTGTCCATCAATCCATTACTCGGTCCATCCCCTAACATGTTAAAGTTTTGGTTTTGGGAGGTTTGTCCATCAATCCATTACTCGGTCCATCCCCTATCATGTTAAAGTTTTGGTTTAGGGAGGTTTGTCCATCAATCCATTACTCTGTCCATTCCTTAACATGTTAAAGTTTTGGTTAAGTGAGGTTTGTCCATCAATCCATTACTCGGTCCATCCCTTAACATGTTAAAGTTTTGGTTTAGGGAGGTTTGTCCATCAATCCATTACTCGGTCCATTACTCGGTCCATCCCCTATCATGTTAATGTTTTGGTTTAGGAAGGTTTGTCCATCAATCCATTAATCGGTCCATCCCCTATCATGTTAAAGTTTTGGTTTAGGGAGGTTTGTCCATTAATCCATTACTCGGTCCATCCCCTATCATGTTAAAGTTTTGGTTTAGGGAGGTTTGTCCATCAATCCATTACTCGGTCCATCCCCTATCATGTTAAAGTTTTGGTTTAGGGAGGTTTGTCCATCAATCCATTAATCGGTCCATCCCCTATCATGTTAAAGTTTTGGTTTAGGGAGGTTTGTCCATCAATCCATTACTCGGTCCATCCCCTATCATGTTAAAGTTTTGGTTTAGGGAGGTTTGTGGTCACATGAACTTTCAAACTTGTTATACAACTTTATCATGAAGTGATCTGCTTGATATATGTGCCAAATTATGGTTTTCACTAGAATTTCATGGTTCACTGAACACGGAAATGTGAAAATATGCAAGGGGGGCATGGTAAACTAAGGACACATATTCATGTTTGACCAAAACATTAAACATATTTAAAAAGTCTTCCTTTCTTGTTCTGAAATCAAAATATGTCAATTTTACTTCAATTTTGAAATATTATACATGTTTGAAAATCAACTAAGTATATCTCTCTTTATATACTTGTATCTCATCAGTAGTATTTGCATGTAACAGATATTCACTTTGGACAATATTTTCATTTTCCTGAACTCTATGATAGTTCTTCAGATTTTATAATTTCTGGATAGCTGACTGAAAATGCAAAGAATATATAGATATGATTTTCTAGTTTAATGATTGAGTTGCACATCAGGTGTAGTAAAATTGGTACCGTTAATGTTATACTTGCAGCGGAAATTTCTTAAAATGATTAAGTAACAAAGTACAAAAATGTTGATATTTCTCTTGAATCTTATGTAGTCTGAAATAAAACTACATGTATTAAATTTGCTTTCAAGCTTGGCTTGATATTGGTGGTGCATGCTTAGATAACAAATATAATCTGAAAAATTGTATCACAACTGTATGTGAAGTTTTCATGAAGCAGATTTGATTAAAAATACATGATTATAATCCTTATTTAAAAATGTTATAAAGGAACCAAAAAAAAATTGCTATCTTGTCTTAAGCTTTAGTGGTGTTTAGAATACTCTTCATAAAAACAGTTTTGTAATGTTCCAAATAAACTTGGGGAGTGAGGTTTTTTTCTTCAAGCCAACTTGAAGTTTTAATGTGTTGAGATATAGAAATGATGACTGTGACACCAACTAAGAACTATCAAATGATTGAAAGCTTACATGGTGGCACAAAGGTTTCTTATACCAGATTGCAAAGTATTAGTTTATGTCAATTTGATAATGTACGACACCCATAGATTCCTCACTTCAAAAAGTGATCACTCATCTTTTCTTTTAAAAAGTTATTAAAATATTTGAGATAAGTAAATCTTTGTTTAAAAATCCCATAGTTATTATTTGATAGAAGAAATGAAAAAACCATTTCTAATAATACACACTTCATTTTCCTGTTTACAAATCTATGTACTAATTCAATAAAACATTGGGTGAACGTGCGTAACTTTACAATTAAAATTGTTACATCAGTTGAATTTTGAAAGACCGATCGATCAAAATGGACATTTCTGTTGGTGTTGCTTGCTAAGAAATTGAAATAAATCATTCAAAAAGTAATAGAATCGAGACTGGAAACGGGAATGTGTCATAGAGACAACCACCTGATTAAAGAGCAGAAAATAAGTCTACATGTGTTTGTACAATCATGGAACAGTGGTTTTCTAGAATATTTTTGCTTCGTCAAATCAATTGACATTTCGTTTGATGTGTTTGTTTTTTTGATTTTGCCATTTGATTGGGGACTTTCCTTTTTGAATTTTCCTCGGAGTTCAGTATTTTTGTGATTTTACTTTTGGCTGTCTTTCTAACATATGTTCAGTTCGAAGTAAAAAAGTTTCTGAATTCTATTAAAATCAAATAATTCTTTCATGTCATGTGCAGTGCTCATTTTAACATGGGTATGCATGGCTAGCAAACACTCGGTGTAAAGATATTGACAAATCTAAAGCCTATCCATGTCAAAATGAGCATAGAACATGACATGAAAGAATTATTTCAAAATTTAAGTATTGCCAAGTGAGATAAAGATATCATCAATAAAAAATATCAATCTAAAGCTCATTAGATATGTGCTTTGACACTAATTGTAACTAAAGAGACAGAGAACCACACACTGGTACCTATTTATGTCCGTTCAATTTATTGAATCTTGAATAAAAGTAAGAATGGGGTCTAATTGACAATTTTTATTGGCACCATACATCAGTGTTCAAATGCAGGCAAAATTAATTCTGTATATGGTCCGGGATCCTTCTTTAGAATTTTGTTGGTTAGCCACTAAAGGCCAACTAAGAAAACCACTTTTACTAAATTTAAAATATGTTGAATAAAAATAATTACACAGGTGACAGGGTCATGTTGTATCAACTTGATCTGGATCCTTTTTATGGAGTCTTTAATTCAAATCTATGGTTGCTGAACTCACCAAATTATCAACACTGCTGCCACACCTAATCTGTGAAGCCTGTGGTGCTAGGAAGAATTATATTTAATGCCTTCTCTCTAACAGCTTCAATTGCTTCTCACAAATTGCAGGAATATTACGTCTCTAAGGGGCCTCCATTGTTTATGGGCTTAAAAAATACAAAAAGGATTTCTACAAAATTTTATTGGAAAGGAAATAAAACCATGAGAATCTGTTAATGTTGTTCAGGATTTTTGAATTTTTGGAAGATGATCAACTGTCCCATTGAATAAATAAAATAGCAATTGTTCTCTGTGGATTATGTTCTGTTGTTTTTTCCAGGAGAAATGAAAAGTTTTCATTGAATTATCACCATAGAGAACAACAGCTATTGTGTTTATTTAATTTCTAAAAATCGAAATTGCTTAACGAAAACTTACTGATTCCAATAGAAAGTTGTCTTCCTTTGCACTTAATAGGCTAATGGTTTTCATTTTTATACGACCGCAAAAAAATTTTGTGGTCGTATATTGGTATGACGTTGGCGTCGTCGTCGTCGTCGTCGTCGTCCGGCGGCGTCGTCGTCCGAATACATATTGGTTTTCGCACTCTAACTTTAGTTTAAGTGAATGGATCTTTTTGAAATTTGACCGTAAGGTTAAATACCACAAAAGGAAGGTTGGGATTGATTTTGGGGGTTATGGTACCAACAGTTAAGGAATTAGGGGCCAAAAAGGGGCCAAAAATGAGCATTTTCTAGTTTCCAGACAATAACTGTGGAACGGTGTATGGATCTCTCTGAAATTATACTACAAGTTTCCATACCACAAAGGGATGGTTAGGATTTGCTTTGGGGGGTTATGGCTCAAACCGTTTAGGAATTAGGGGCAAAAAAGGGGGAAAAACAAGGTTGTCCTGGTTAATGGACAAATACTTTAGTACAAAACATAATTTAAAGCAGTGTAAGGGAGATAAATCAAATACATCATTGAAATTATCTCCCTTACACTGCTTTTAAATTATGTATAAAGTAATGGTTAATGAACAATAAAGATAATCTAAA